ACCTTCGTGTGTTCGAATTTATTTGAAATTGTACTTCGCAACAAAAAGCGAGACAAATGATTTTGACCAACTTCGCGCTGCAGTATTGGTATTAATATAATGTAATCAACTTATAATGGTAATAAGTATGCAATATGCATTATGCATACAATTGTACAAACATCATAGTTGGTATTATTTAAATTAAAATAAAATTGATAATTTCGGGGAATAAACAAGATAATATGTCGGTGTTGGGTAAAGTTAATTACATTTTTATAAAATCTATAAACAAAGTTTTAGATCATAATAATTGTAAATGAAAATTTCCCCCCTACGGTATAGTAGGACATTCCCACACATATATTTTGGTTACAGACATTTCCTCCCCATTTTTTTTTAAGTTTATTATTAACCAATAATATTGAATTTAATAATATTTTACTATTTATTATTTAATATGAAATTATTTTTTTTTAAATAAAATATAAAATATATAAAAATTATTGTTTTATTTTCATAGATAAAATAGATTATAAATGTATATATTTGATTAACTGAACTACAAACTTAATTAATAATTAATAAAAGTGGCTAATAATTCCGAAATAAAATTGATACATTTTGTAAAAAGCAAATGATTTCTGTTTCTCTTGTTAATTGCAAACACATACTTTTTTTAGCCTTTGTTCAAATTTATATTATTTTTTTTTTTTTTGTTAAAACTGTACCATTTTGGATATTTAATTGCTTGTGAATTCGATTTAACTAGTTCAGTTGATCAAAAATATAGATCTATAATTTATTATATTTATGAAAATATTAGACATTTATACATGCAGTAGGCAAAAAAATAATTTCATATTCAATAATGGTTTACTATTATTAAATAGTAGGCTTTCAACAAAATGGGGGGGGGGGCGAAATGTCGTATTACACCGAAAACGGTCGAAGGAAAATTCCCTCGATTCCATAATAATTATATGATCCCACGGTACCCAAACGTGTTCGAATTCGAGCCGAATACGTCACAACGTCACAGCGATTTTGACGAACTTCGCGCTGCAGTAATGCTGTTATAACATTATACCTACTCGATTTAATGTCATACACTGCACTGTACGGTGTTTGCGAATCGTCATCGCTATATATTGCTCGATTTAATCTCGTCGGAGGGTGAATAAACGGCTATATGTGCGAACTTGTAAAAGTATACACACACACATAGGTATAACGTGTGTATATTATAATATTGTACGCCCTTGCACGCCCGTTGGAATTATATAAGTGCACTTCCCGGGAGCATATACGCGGAGATTTACGAAAAGTATACGATTGTAAAAAAAAAAAAAAGTAAAAAGAATAACTCGGCGGTGTTCGCTATACGCAACACTTCTATAAAAAAAAAATTGAATAAAAATACGGTGCACTGCCGTCGGACGTTTCTTCTATTGATATTTAAATATGAAATTGTATAATATTATATAATATTTACGTGAAGTGCATTTGCGATCAGTAATAATATTTACAGATAAAATAATTCTTACGAAAGACTAACACACACTGCAGTGACGTGTGAGACTATAAGTAAATTATTTTTATTAACGGGTATACGCGTCATATTAATATATTTTCCATAATACATATTATATAAAAAAATAACGGTAACGTGTACCTACCAGACTTATATATTACCTACAATACTCACAGGCAATGGAGGAATAACTATATGGGTACCTTACCAATATAGTTATAGACTATTATAAACGCAAGACAACATAAGAATATTATAACAATCTCTTAAAGTCTATAGCTTAGCAGAGAGGGAGAATCGATATCATATTATTCCCGGAACTTTTGTGTTCTAATTTTCTGAATATTCAACACTGGCTTTAAAAATAATAGCGATTATCATGGTACGATTATAATATTCGTGCCTCAAGTGAAACAAATTATTTTTTACTATATTTCAAGTTTTCAGAAAATAATTTCGTAGGAGAATAAAAAACATAATAATAAAAATTCCAACCTGAATTTTCGAACATTGTAATACATACAATAAATGAACACAAAAAGAAAATCATACATTAAAGGCATGCATAATAATATTAATGACTACAATAATAAAATAATACGATTGTGTCGTTTTCCTTTGTATGTGTATAATCAGATTATATAATCTCAATATATTTTATTACATAATATAGTATAATATTAATTATTATTATGATGTCGTGAAAACAAGAAGCATAACTACAACTACAGTGGTCACAACTTAAATATAAATTAACTGAAATCGAATACAATTTAGGTTGGATAGATAAAATAAATATATTTTTGTATTGTTACTATTAAGACTTGAGATATCCACAACATCATAATCTTCTTATACCGGGAATCGCATAGGAGTAAAGTTCTGGAATCGAAAGATAATAATAAGACAAGCATTGATTTATCCTTAAGAATAAAAAAAAAACAAACATGGAATACAAAAATAAAAATAAGTGGTTTAATAGGTATTATGCATAATGCATTCATGAGATAGTATGCCCGTCAGCTATTGTATGATAGTTGATAATATAATATGGATATTGAACAGTCTGGTAAGTGGTAACTGCATATTTTAATGGTTTGCAGAAAATGCATTTAGGAAATACCGTTTAGTAGTCGCCCGCCGAAGTTTTGTTCTCCAATAATATTATGAAACGATATACGATTATAATATTATTATGATATTATATAAAGACAAACAGTAAATATCTCTTACCCAACCGATATTTTATTCCCACATTTTCGCCTGCTGCTGTGTCTCAAGTGTACGTGTTCGGTTATATATTATACATAAAATCGTCGATGGCGGGATTAAAGCGTATATTACACTATTGATAAACGCTTAATCTACGATTTATATTTATTTTAAAGTCTGCGTCCCAATCTTAGACCATATACTATGGATGGAGATACAGCGTATTATTTTGTTGCCGATATAACGACTAGTCACCGAATTAGGTGATAGATGTGTGCAAGCGCAATGAAACTCCTCTCAAAATTATTATCCATAGGTACAATGGGTATCTGTGGATAAATATGCGAGAAGTCGCGTTGCGCATGTGCATATCGACCACCTAATTCGATGAATCGCCGCTGCAGATATTGACAACGTTTTTTGTATTGAATTAATACGCTGTGGATCCCCATCCATAGTATATGATCTAAGATCCCCATCCTCAATGCAATAAATTATATTATATTTGACTTCGATATGACTTATAATATTATGATAGGACATATACCCACCTACGTCGCTTTGAAGTTTTTTTTATCGAAAGTCAATATTATTTTACACAAACGTAATAACAATAATGAATATTAATAAATCGCTCGAGTTTAGGTTGCAATGAACGGTTTCCACCGCGCTCGAGTAATATTTATAAATTATAATATACTAAATATTATTTTTATTTATTTATTTGTGTATGAGGGCAACGTCTCGAGGGCATAAGTACATCACAGGTTCTGATACTGGATAACGCATTAGAAAATAAGGTAAAAGAAAAAAAATACAAAGCTAACTTGAATGAGTAAAGATAATATAATATTAAGAAATACAAATTTTGAATGATAGATGGCAAACAACAGTAAAAAATATCAATATTTGATCAATTATTAAGAGTGCGATAGTGCGATCAGGAAATTATGCGTATCTGTAGTTAGTGGCATGAAATTTCGTTTTAAAAGATTGAGAATTTCTTGAATGAAAAGAAAAACTGTTTGGCAATGATTATTCAGATAGTAAATCTGTAGAGTCGATATAAATATTCAATAATTTATAAACAAAGTTGACATCAAACTCAACTCATCTTTTGATAAATGATAAGAGATTTAAAACTATAAGGGTTTACATCGCAGCAAAATTATCTAATTTTTATACATTTATATTGATATTTCGTTAATTAAGTATTATATGATATTTGATGGGATGAGAAGCACCGAACGATCTAGTGACATTCAAACGGTATTTGATGCGTAAGACACCGTAAGTTTAGAGAAACCAATATCACCGAATAGAATAATCAAAATGGACACTGATAACAAATTATACGGTAAAATTGGGCAGAAAAAAAAATTAGCTGCTGCCTATTTCATTGAGGAAGTTTTTATCAATTTTAACTTGTGATTAGAAAACCTTCCAAACAACGGAAATTCAGTTTGAGAGCGATCTTTTTTATTCTATTGGATTATTCTATTATGTGGTTTTTACTTTACATTTACTTTTTACGTTCTGTGCTGTAAAATAATAATTGTTATTCTATAATGTGCAATCAGCTTCAATCAAAGTATAACTTAAATTAGAGAAAACTTGTATTTGCTCTATGATTTTCCGTAACGTCCTAGGGATAGCTGATAATATTGCAACATTGTTTTTTAATGTGTACTGCACGAGCACCATTCAAATAAATAGTCAGTACCAACTCTTTCATAGTATTATAGTGTATCGTATCCCTTTAGGTTTAATCCCGGAATTTACACTTGAATCTTGGACACTTGCACATAATGTCTAATAACCATTGACAGATTTGGTGATAAGTGTGTATCACAATCTTATAGAAATGTTCTGCTGATGTCACAACATCATTAATGTTTGACGATTTAAGATCTTTTGACTAATTATTGAGACAAATGTTCAACTATTTACTCTAATTTATCGCATTCTGTCTTAAGTTCTTGAACATCAACTCTAAAATTAAGTTTTCTTAGTGTGTTTACAGAAATATTTTGAGAAGTTTGTGTTGCAGTTGATTATGAAGATGACTCAGACAATGAACATATGGAGACAACGACTTGCCTAATACAAACATAAAAGAATTACTAAATTGAAGTCCATACTTATAATATAAGATACATTATACGTTACATTATAATAATGTAATTTTAACCAAATATAATTCATTGAATAATGTCTTTACCTAAATTTAATACTTACAAGCAACAGAACTTGATTTAAGGGTGTGCTTGTAACGATGATTTCATCAGTTAATGAATTATCATCAATAGTCTGCGAGTTTTCACTACCATGTGCAGTTGTTTCAATTCAAGTTTCAATGTTGCTACCAAATTCTGTAGGAATAGCAGTAGACAAAAGTCTTGTTCTTTCAACATTTGAAAACATATTGTACTTTCAAAATGATCATTACAAACACCGTAGTTCTTGTTCAGAATGTCTATCGGCTTAGCACACAGGTATGATCGTTGACAATTTATTAACCATTTGTTGCAACTTCTATAAATAATAGGTAATCAATTAAAGTAATAATGTTCACACCTAATGCTATCTAGTATATTAAAACTTTTTTCATCAAAATATTAATATAAGTAACATATGTAGTATTCTTACCGTGATGAATCGTTAGGGATACTGAATAGCTTATACAACTCTCCAGTCTCCACAACTTGGTACTGACTTTTGAATTTCTACACACTTTAACAATACAAACGAACAATATTGTAAACACAGAACGTAAAAATTGAACGGTAAACGTAATTATGAAGTATTAATAAATAAACAGAATTTATATTAGAGAAATTAGTAAACTGTAATGTTGTTTGAAACGTTTTTCTAATATCGAAATAAAATTCATTAAAACTACCTCAAATATAATGAATCTGTAAAAGATAAATAACTATAATCAAATAAAATAAAATAAAATCAAAATAAAATAAAATAAAATCATTATCTGTTATCGGCCTGCCTCCCAAATGTGTCCACCCCCTCTCAATATTATTATAATATAATTTTTTTGTTGTGAGCCAAAATGCCCAACTGGAAGTAGAAAGGTACCGCTGTAGCACGAAAATAAGTACATTTTTCGTTTTACGAATGAAATAGATTAATTTACCATTCTTTGAAAAAGAAACACCTATTATAGGTTATTGTTATTATATAATGTAATATGAAACAATATACGCAGTCGTATAAACTTTTTTGATATTTACTAGATTTCGATTTAATTTTCGACAAACTAGGGCGGCGGTGCAGCAACTCGCATATTATAGGTACTTAAACTAAATACATTCCCGGAACTATAAATATTTACCACGAGTCAAATCACGCTCTTAAATAAAAATAAATCTCATACAAACACTTTAGGAATATTTTATAATAATAATAATAATAATAGTAATAATACAATTTAATATAAGACAGTATTATCTAACACAATGTTTACACGCATAATAACACGTGTGTGTGTTTTTGATGCTTCAAATTAATATTTATGTCGATGGAAAACTTACGTGTTACAAACGGGCCGGTATGTGGACTTACGAAACGTAATATTGGCTATAATATATTTTAAAAACGCGATAAAAAATAAATATATGAAACCGAATTTTGAATGCAATTTGAACGAATATATTATTAACTGATTATAATTTATTATCAATCGATGATATATTATTAAATATAAGTATTTAATATAATTATTTTAACTTATCTTACTATTTTAAGTGTGTCAAGTGTATTAAAAAATGATATCAACTAGATTTTTTTGTTTTTAAAAATTAACATTTTTGCAGTTTGTTATTAGTGGTTATTCAATATTATTAAATTACTTATCCAACTGGTCAATATCAATGTATTTAAACCTAGCTGACCGAGTGCACTTTGTTGCCGTTAAAAATTCCAACTTTATAATATGACTCAAACTGTGTTCAATTTGTTATTTAATATTCGATTTTTGGTGTAATTTTGTTCAAAACTTAAAAACGTTCATCTTGATACTTGATACTTGAACCTCAAAATACTTGTGTAAGCACCACTTTAAAATCCGAATTTTGGAAAATGTTTTCTTAGTGCAAGAACTTACATGGTGGTACGAAAGTACTGTGAAAACTGTAAGTCTCAAGATATCATCATTTAGGCCCTACGTTGATCATTCAGTGAGTCAGCCAGGACACGTTCGATTACATTGCATCATAGTGCATAGGCTATAGCTATCCCGCTCGGAGTTGCCCGTGAGACTAGCTTGTGATTATGCTAGCTGTTCATTTTCAGGTTATATTATTATAATATTTTTCACACTCCATGTCGAAGTGCCTATACGGAAGTGTATAATTTCTAACTGTAAAATGCCAAAGTTATACCAAGTTCATACATTTTGATCATAGTCTTTTGATGGTTTCGATTTTTTTGTAACCAATAGCAACCATAATGTAATAAACAAAAATACATTATTATTATTATTTTCATTATGTCTATAAGAAGTTCTCAAATTTGAAATAAAAAAATTAAGGGTTACTTATCGAGATAAAATATAGCCTATAGATCCTAAGGGATAGTGTAGCTTTCTGATAGTATAACATTTTTTTTAAATCTTTTAAGCAGTTCCATAGATTACCCTGATCAAATTATCTAACAAACAATACGCTTTTATTAACTATATTATATTAGGTTATATTATAATGATGTAGCTCACTAGCAATGAATTTATTATTCGCTTTTGAACTGTGAATGAATTTCGTACTGCACCGAACGATTGAGTTTGTGAAATTTTGCAATGAGACCTGCTGGAAAAATAATATTTGATTAACGGTCCACATTTATTGACATATGTATGTAGACGATGATGATCGAAAACACGTTTAACAAAAACAAGGATTGTAATTAAATGAAACATTTCATGAGCAACTAAATGATTTTGATCATCCAAATTAACTTCTATTTGCAGTTGAAAACGAGTGGCAGATAAAATTATGATATTCAAATACACGATGACGTGCACATTTAAATGTACATAAAATAAATAAATTTAGATACCAATTACATATTATTGTTACGTTTTTTTTTTCAATATGACTACCCATCCATAATTATATTAATTGATATTATATTTTAACATCGAATGTAAAAACTAGTAAAACTCGAAAAGCGACGATGTTGTTATAATTTTCGTTTGTCCCACGTGGATAGTGAAAATTTTATTTTATAGTACCTACCGGGTTTATTTTCAATTATTTTGATCATACTTAACGAACATACTAAAATATATCGTTTAAATATAAAATAAGTATAATAATATTTACGTTTAAACATAATATTATATAGAATACGATTTAATATTATTATAATTAAAATATAGACGGGAAGCATATTTCAAAGTATTTATACTGCAGTACATGGGTAAGGGTAAGGGTACTTAGGGGAAATTTAAATGCGTAGCTCGAAATCATTATTGATCACTCGATAATAATATTATTTGTCGGAAAACTTTTCGGCGTCTGTGTTTTGATATCAGTCGTAAAATTTGCTCTTCCAAATGAAAAGTGCACACCCACGTATATAATATATTATGAGAACCGTCGTCGTCATCTATCATCGCCCGTTTCCTACGCACTCTTCTCGTCGTGCCCAACTTGGACCATATATCTTTCGGCGCGGTGTATACACAAAGAAGAACATGTTTAAACTTGTATCAACAACAATTTCATACACGATGAATGGAGTACACGGTAAAATAGTGATGGCCGGAGGTGGTGGTGGTCGTGCAAGACGAAAGAATGGCGCAGGAGGGCAAAGTGGACGGAGCAAATGAAATTGTGTCACACAAGACTGTGTGTGTGTGTGTGCTTCTTTTCGTAACTTTTATGTAAGATTTAGAGCCTAGCCTACAAATTACTTCTGTACCTACGTGGCGATTTCTGATTTATTATGTCAGAACTGCAGTTCAAACGCACTTGTAACGACGATCATATAACGTTATTTTTTAAAGCGTATATTATTATCAATAGAGCGTTTCCGTAGGTATGTGATAAATTCAATTTAATGCGTTTTTCATCGGCACTATGGTACCTACTAAGGTTGGACAAAGAGTAAAAAATTCACTAAGTAGCTAAAAATAGTTGAAAAACCTAAGTTTTCAATGCTTCGTCTCTCAGGTGTACTAACTACCATCATTAGTGATGAACGATGAATATTCAAGTCTTTAAAATATGTACCTAATTATTACTTTCTTCCAACAGACATTTTACCTAACAGTATTTATCCAAAACGATTTTCTTTGTAATATTATAAAATAATATATTATCAAAATGTGTGCGAATTGACGATGGTTTTTTGGATTAAAATTTTTTTCTATAAATTTGACGGCACTTTCGTTCCATTTACGAGTTATTCACAATGGAATTATATAATAGTTAAACTGATTTTACTTCTACCAGTAACTATGAAGGTCACAGATGATAAAAAAAAATAATTGTGTTAGGTATAAATATATTACAATACGTCTTCTTGCGACCTTTATCTATGTATTTATCCGTCTCGGTTATGTATTTAAGCAAACGCATAAGAGGACGTGATATCCGCATGTATTGTCTTGTAAGCAGAACACGTGTAGCTCCGTTAGCTTATCAATTAGAGTGAATTGACCTCTTATAAAATCTAAAAGTAATATTGTTATCTAGACAACCTCATGGGGTTTGTCATTAAATTTTAATTTTAAAACGAGCTATGAGTATTTTAAAATTGTAAATTGTTTGTACATTTTAAGCGGTAAGGCGAAGGAAGATTATTGTTGAGCGTTTTTTTGGAGTAAACACTCGCGTAGTTATCAATTAATATTTTCCCTTTGTCCGCCGTATTTTAAAATCACAAAATATATCTACGGTGATTAATTTTACTTCGAGATACTCATTATTTCAATATAATGACAATCGTTCTTTTTTTATATAATTTATATAATAATTTAAAATCGTCACAAAACCACATATTTTTCACAATTTGTTTTCGTAAACGTTTTTTTTTTATGTTTCAAGTTTTTTGAATGATAATATGATTATATTATTTAATTCACATTACAAAGAGAATGATCCTCTGAGAATTTGAATGTACAAAATTCAAATATTGAACGAGTGTTATAGTGCACACTTTTAATAAATTTAAGAAAATACCTACTTCTAATATGGGTTTTTAACTTAAAATATAGACAGAGATCTATGAGATTTACAAATCTAAACCATATTTTATCTGTACATGACATTCATAGATACAAACCTGATCCTTTAAAATCAAGTGTTTCATATATAAATAAATTATTTGAATTTGTCGAATTAATATTATATACACATTAAACATACACTTTAGTGAGCAAAAATCATTTTTTTGAAAACAAGATTTTATATACAAAAAAAATTTTAATTAAGAGAAAATAAATCTTACCGGAAGCTATTGGTTTTACAA